GCTGAGGTGAAGGGCTCAGTCCTTGGTCCTCTTCTCTCTCTACACATTTCCCTTGGTAATCTCACTTAGTTGCATTGCTTCAAACACCACCCATGTGCTGATAATTCCCAAACATCTGTCTTGGATCAGTCCTCTCTCCTAATTTGCATACTTATACATCCAACTGCTTACTAGACATCTCCAGCTGTCTAACAGACATGCAAACTCATTACCTATGACAATGACTTCCCAATCTTACCATGAAAGCTACACAATTAACAGAGAGTTCCTCATCCCAAAGTAAGTCAATACCATCCTTCCAACAGTTTAGGCAAAAACCCCTGGATTCATCCTTGAATTCTCAAGGATATAGCTCACTTATTGTCAGAACATCCTGTTCTTCCAAAATACATCTACACCCTGCTTCTCTCCTGTCTACTCTGGCCACCTTGGTCTGAGCCATCAGGGTCTGCTTGGATTACTATACTAGCCTCTTCACTGGTCTTCATGTTTCTGTCCTTACCCTGGACACTCTGCTCTTAATCATCAAAGTGATCCCTTTAAAATGTGAGTTAGATCATGTCACTCATTTGGGAAAAATCCTCCAATGGCTTCTTGGTGTAGTAAGAGCAAAAGTCGAAGTCCTTGCAATGGCCGACAATGCCTTGTAGAATCTGTCTCTTCCCATTATCCGTGCAATCTCTCTCCTCAAGTTCTACCTCACTCTCTTACAGAAAGCAGTCTGTTCACTTTTCCCCAAACAAGCTGGCATTATCCTATCTTGGGATATTTGCTCTAGCTTTTTTTTTTAAACGATTTTATTTATGCATACAAGAACTGGGGTATAGGCCATATGTGTGGCGTGTGAGAGGATTCACCAGAGACAGATTGGGGAACAGAACAGGCAGATTGACCGAAATACACTGCTGAGGGGAGCTGCGGGCGAGACAGGAGAGTTCTGCTGCACCATGTGGTCACCTCCCTGGCTGGGAATCGAACTCATGCTGCAGTGGCTGGGATAGCTTTGTAGTGCTGACGCTTAACCCCATGTGCCACCAGGGAGGCCCCTGCTCTAGCTTTTTCTCTGCCTGACCCACTCTTCCCCAAATGCCCAGTTGGCTATAACCCTCTCGCTTCTTTTAGCTTTTTGCACGTTACCCCTACCCTTTCCATGAGCTCTACTCTGATCACCCTTTTTAATACTACGATCAACCACAACAAGTCCTGATCCTCTTGACCTTACTCTTTTTCTTATTTTCATACCACTCATCAATCTCTCACAAACTATATAATTTACTATGATTTATATGCACTAGACTGTCAGCGCCGTGCAAGAAGGCAACTTTGTGTAATCCACTGATGTGTCCCAAGTGCCTCCAGCAGGACAGGCATATAGCAGGCACTTAATAAGCATTTTCTACGTGAATGAACACAAGTTAATCAGTAATGTATGTCCGAGTCAATACTGAATCCTAATGCTAGTCATTCTACTATGGGAACATTCCTATTATCCATTCCTTCTTGCTTCATACCTGTTCTATCCTAATGTTACTTTTGTCTCACAACTGAGTTGTTGAAGCTCACTGACTTTACCCTCAGCACCTGTCATCCATGTGGTTTGCACATAGCAAACCAGTAGCTTAAACCACAGCAATACAGGGTTGCTCATGCCATTCCCAAGCCCAGGGTGTCAAGCTTGGTCTCTGCAAGGGCCCTCAAACCCCTTCTCGCCGTCTCTGCTTATGTCTCTCACTATGCTTTCCTCTGTGAACCTCCTTCCTCCTCACTGTTTTCCATTCCTGTCAGCACACTAGAACCTTCATTCCTTCACTCACAATGCATATTCCTTACCCTCGGGGCCCTTCCCTCTTCTCTAAATCACCATCCTAACTCACTTCCCATTTCTTCTGCAAAGACTTTCTTGACCCTCCCGTTCAACACTGGAGTTTCCATTTCTGCATTCACTCTGCTTACAGGATGGACTCTCCATTCAGCTGACACTTAATGCTACATTGCCATAGGGTGGTATGGATTTTTCTTTACTTTTATGTAATTCATAAAATGTTATATACAAGTCTATGGACATCTGGCAATAAGCAAGATTTAATTTTTAATTGGGAGGCTGACTGATATGTTTTCTTGCTCCACTTACATTATAGGATCCCTAAAACACTTTCCTTTAACTTCCTGACTTTTCCCATGGACTCAAACACAGGCTAGGCACCCAATAGGCGAGTGGTGATGTTTGCAAGGCAGCTGAAGGATTCAGAATCCCCAGAGGGAAGAGGGCGTGAGCGCTTAGGCATTTTGCTAGGGTACGATGGCCAAGGGAAAAAAACGTATTAGTAGAGTAAGTCAAGGTGAAAAACAAAAAAGACTGTGTAAGGAGGTAGTCTCCCATTTAGTTTCTTTTCATTAGCTGTTACTCATGTGACTTGTAATCTGAAAATGTATAGCACTGTTGGAGTTCAGTTCTTTTTGGATAATCATCTTGTTTTGTGTGGATGTTTTTCCACTTTGAAAAAAGGAAAGAAATAGAGCTCTTCAGTGAAGTAGGGGCCCTAGAGCCCTAAATGCAACCCATTATCTATTGTAGTGAATTGGCCCAAAGTCACAGCATATTGAAGGCCCCCTAGATCATTCTGCTGGCCCAGGCTCAGAGAAGGGGCTTTTAGCAGGCAACCATGAGAAGATGCAAGCGAGGCCACGCGTTCTGGGTGCCAGTGTCAGCACTTGCTCCTCCCGGTCTTTCCCAGGCTCTCATGGATTCATCCAACAGACACCCACAGAGTACCTACTGCTGCCATGATCTCATTTACCCTCACCATAGCTCTCGGACATACATATCATCACCTGCCTGTTTTATGCCTGGAGACCTTGCTTGGATAGGTTAGTAACTTGCCCAGGTGAAGTTAGCAAATAGTAGGTCTGAGATTGGGACTCAGGATGGGGCTGACACCAAAGTCTGTGTTCTCACAGGGCACTGCTGTCCCTGTGCCTCCCAGGTGCTCAGAATATATTTCAGAGAGGCCCAAGTGAATAAATGACCTAAAGGTTCTGACAAACACAATCCAACCACCCGAGACAATGCAGAGGAATAATAACATTGTTTTGTTAAAGAGATATTGTTTAAGTGTTGACACGGCCTCTGTATTTGAATGAAACTTTCTGGAGTAGAAATCTGAGCTTCTTGCTAACAGTCTCAAACAGGCTTTCATTCCCTTTTCTTCTTCCCGAGACCTGCAATCTGGTTCTTTAGTGAACACTCCAAGTCCTCTGAAGCTCAAGTACGACACAGGGACACCAAGGTCCCGGATTCCATGACGGTCATCTCTCCATTTCCCTCCCTTCTGTCAGGCTGGTGGCCTCAGTGAAAAGTCCAAGTCCTGCCTCCCACACACAATCTGCTAACCATCTTAAATGTATTCATCTTGTCAAGATCTGACCCCGACTGTGTAAATCAGTTGAGATGGAAATATGATGTCCCACGGCTAATTTCAAGACAAATGACACAAAAGTCAACCCCTTAAAGTACAAAAGACCAAGATCTGAGAGGGCAGGCAGCTTGGAGCTTGAATCTCTCCAGCTATCAGAGTTTTATGACAATTACTGGATCCGTTGCTGACCCAGGAAACTCAGGCCAAGAAGCTCTGTCATCCCAGCCTGCATGTGTCTGCTTTCATGCTCCCAGCCGTCACTCTCCATCACAGGGAAGCTAGTGAGACCGTTCCCTGGATTACTAGTCCATGAAAGAGACTGACTGAAATCAGGGCCTCTTCCAGAATATATTAATGATACAATAATCACTTAATTCCCCCAAGGTGCAAGTAACCCCTAACTAAATGTAAAATTAGAAAAAGAATTTAAAAGTCTCCCATTGTAGTATTAGCAATGCAGCATCTTCAGCATTTCCTTGGTTATTCCACTAAGGTACTGTTTCAATTAATAGGGTTCTAGCCAACACTCCTACATGTTTGAGAAAATGTTTAAAAAGGCTCATTAGCCAAAAGATCCAAGTGGAGGTAGAAGCCAAGAAGCCGTCACTGCCAATTCTTAATCCTCTCATATCTTTATAATTGGGGGTTCCTGCAATTTGACAGGCACATAGAGTCTAACCACAAAAGCTTCCCCCTAGAGAGTGATCTCGGCACTGACATGTATTCGTGGAACACATGCAAAGTAGCACCAAGGAATTCTGTGTAATGACGGGCCACGTTGCCACTTTATATAAGCATCCATGGCATGTGTGTCCACATGCTCGGCCTAAGTGGAGAGCCACAGACAGGACTGCTGGCCCCTGGGCCCGTGTGCACAGGGGACTCTGCTTCAGTGGTCAAAGGAGCATGAGGCTGTCCTCTGCTCTGCCCTCTTGCAAAGCAGTCCCTGCCCCGCCTCTCCTAGTGGATTAGACTGAGCGAGGTGGGGACCCCAGCATCACACCAGGCCATAGCACAGAGCAGCATTCTCAGTTAGCAAACCTCACCCCCTGGTGAGGAGGAAAAGCACCCCAACAACTGGGGATTAAAACCAGGAAATGCAAGAAAGGGAACATTCCAGGGTGAAATTGAAAATAATAAAAAAGGAAGAAACAGTGGGGAGGGGGAAGAAGAAAGAAAATGCACAAAGCCCAGGAGGCTGTCTGGTTAACCATGGGTTAGAATCGGGTTTAGAGAATCACACAGATCTCAGTGTCTCAGCAAGTCCAAAACCCCAGGGTGAAAGACACGTGGGTGAAAGGCACTCTGTTTGCGGAAACGGGAAGTGTCTTTCTTGCCCCACTTATTCTGTAAAAATTTTTTTTTAGTCTGTTTTTAACCCAAATTTGGACCATTGATCATTTTTCACCGTTCTAGAATCAAAAGAGCAACAAAGTTGGGTTCCAAAGGTCCCTTTCCCACAGCCAATTCCAATCAGCCCTTTTCTCCCAGGGTTACAGGTGCTCGAGCGGACATTCTCAGCGGGACATGCCACACACAGCAAGTCGCCAAACCAGACTGTGCTAAAGGGCTCCAGGGACTTACTTGTACTTGTGCTGGTTCCAATAGTATTGATTGTGGTGGGGACGGATGAGGAGGAGTAGAGGGGCACATGGCCGTTCTCACAGCCCAGGCTTTTGTCCTGCCAGTTGGAGGCGTTGATGCAAATCCCAGAATCCCGAGAGTTCTGCCAGCCGTTGAGCTTGTCGTCCGAGTTCTGTCTTTGGTGATAGTAGTGCGTCTGCCCGTAATCCACAGAGTCTGAGCGGCCTCGGTTCTGGCCACCAAAGCTGGTGGACGTGCGGTCCTCCAAGTGGTTCAGCCACATGGCCAAAGCGCTCCGGTCTTCTAACGACGTGGCGGGGTGGATCAAAGCATAGGACAGCAGCTGCCTGCTCTCCTCGATGTGCTGGTTGTGCTCAATAGAGTGCGCCAGGATTTTGGGCAGCAGTTTCATATACTCTACTTTTGCGTCAAGGTTTCCTGGCTTCAGCAAAGGCAGGTGAGTTAATAGGAGGGAAATCACTTTATCCTTGGATTCCTGCTGCCATTGGTTAATGATTCCTGAAAAGGAAAATACACAAGACAAATAAGCAAATATACCCACAATGACACAAAACGTCATGCCATAAAGAGGATCTCTTGGTTTAGAGGCCCAATCTATGAACCTAGGCTGAATTTTCTGCAACAGTCCGTGCACAGGATCGGTAGCCAACCTCGGGCTGTCTGAGGGCAGTGAATGATGACATTGGAGCAAAGATTGTTAGGGATTTCATAGTTCAATCGGATTCTTTTCCATGTCTCCAAAGGGGCTACAGCTACTTGGCACAACCAAATAAATTTATAGTCCTGTTCTCTTTTTCAGAAAGGTCTAGCCTCATCTTCAGACAGACGGCAGTTGGGGATTGGCGAGGAAGGGGGTAGTGCAGGGAAAGAGGGGAGGTATAAGAATAAGAAACCCTTCACAGAAAAGTCAGAGTTAGGGTGGACCCAACATGGGAGTCCTGGCAGTAAGACAGTTTCTTCCCCTCCCCCCTCACCTGTGGTAACGTGGTTTTAAACTCTGCAAAGGCATTTGTGTGAAGGGGGTAAAACTTCCTAGACGGAGAAATCAGGAGGAAAAGGAGTCCCCTGATCTGAGTGAAGTAAGCCTGTACCTTTCTCACGAGAAGCTAACTCAGAAAACAACTGTGACCTCAAAGTTAAAATGAGCAATGCACCCAAGACGGGTCCAGGGGCACCTCTTTTCACACATGGAGGCAAGCTATTTTTCTAGAAGTGAGGATCAGTTTGATTATTTTAATTGTGGTTAAAACACATGATATAATATTTACCATTTTAACCATTTTGAAGTATATTGTTTTGTAGCATTAAGCGCAGTCACAACACTGTGTAATCATCACCAAGGAGATCAGCTTCATCTTCCCAAACTGGAGCTCTATACACATTAAACCATAACTCCCCATTCCCCCCAAGTCCCCCCACCCCCCACTGCCATACTTTTGTCTAATTTTTCTAGGTACCTCATATAAGGGAATCACCCAGTATTTGTCCTTTTGTGACTGGCTGATTTCACATAGTATAGTGTCCTCAGGGTTCATCCATGTGAAGATAAGTTTTTAATATACAAGGATCCATCCTTGTCCCCTTCTACCCAAAACACAAATTTGTTGCCGTCAGGTAAACATAGGTAAACAATGCATTCTGCTCTGATTTGCCTTTGAGAAGTAGATCATTCTGGAGACTGAGAGTCACTCCTGACACTTGGAGACCTCAACTCTGCCCCACTGAGGACCTTGCTGGGGCCAAGGCAGGGCAGTCCTGCTGGCTGTCACAGATGCAGGCCTAAAATGGGGTTCCTGGAATTTGGCAGAAGGGCGTCACAATCCTAGTTAAGGAACAAGCACGTCAGAACAAGCTCAGGAATCACTGCTGACCACAAGCTACAAATGCATCAGCCATGTCTCATGGGGCCTCCAGACCACAGGGCGAGGAAGGCATGTATGTAATGAAAGAAGGTGGTCTTTCGAGTCAGGCAGAACTGGGCACAAATCCCAGATCTGTCACTCTATTTGCAATGGAACCTTAGTAAGTTACTTAACCTCTCTGAGCCTCAGTTCTCTCATCAGTCAAGAGCTTTGCCAAGTGCATCGCCCCTCCTTGTGCCGAATTACATGAAGTCATGTATCAAAGGGGCCAGTCAAGTACTTGATGGTGGAAATAGTTCCTTCTACATGTCTCTATGTTAGTCAGGCCCACATTACAGCTACATAGGTGGTTTTGGAAACGAAGTTTTAAAAATAAAAGAGAGACTAGAGATGACCCAGGAGAGGTCATTAAAAATTATCAGAGTTGAAAAAGAGGTAGAAAGTCAAAGGTAAAAGAAAATGGAGTAACTGAGCTGAAGGTGCCTGATGATTCAAAGGGGGAGCTTCATGTTGAACAGCAACCTGGTGTAGAAGCGCTCATGATGGAGGCAGAAGGGGTTAGGATTGGCTGCAGAGAAGAATGAAATGTCCAAATAATGAAAGACTCAGAGGAGTCTTTAATAAAGCTCTAGAATCTCTGTCCTGAGTCTTGAAGAATAGAGATAAATGGTCTAGAGAAGCACTGTCAAGCACTGTCATATAAAGTGAGCCATGTATGCAATTGAACATTTTTACTGTTAAAAGTAAATAGATGAAATTCATTTTAATGACTTATTTTGCTAAATCCAATATATCAAAATATTATCACTTCAACATGTAATGAATATAAAATTACTGATGACATAGTTCACTTCTTTTCTTTGTATTAAGTCTTCCAAACCTAGGGTGTATTTTACCTCTGACAGCACATCTCCACTTGCACTAGCAGCAGCTGAGTGCTCAGAAGCCTCTGGCGGCTGGTGGCTACTGAATTGGCCAGCACAGGGCTATAGTCATTCAGATGAGGAAGGCAGCACTGGTGACCTCGAGGTCCCTCCCAGTTCCCTGACTCTATATTTAGCTACTTGCCATCTGACACAAGACAACCCTCATGCATTCCACCAGGTAGTCTGCCTTTTAAAGGAGCTCCGGAAGATGATGAAGACACCAATTTTAACTTTCTCATCAATACATTTTCAGCAAACACCTATCACGTTTTAAATTATGAATATGCTTAGAATGGAGATAAAATCAATTTATTAAGCCCAAGGAGCTAAAGAGTCACTTTCAAGAAGCAAAAGGCTTGAGAGAAGAAGATGAATCTATATTCCACACCAGCACGCCGATCAGACGTGGCTAGAGCACACTCTGGAAAATGTACGTTTAAAAACAAAATTTGGGAACAACCTGTAATAAAAATGCACAAAGCTGAGGAACTGCCTAACTTTCTGCTAGGTCACTTCCCTGTCTGGATAGTCTACCCTTCTGCAGAAAGGTCAGCCTTAAAAAAATCAGGAACAAAACAAAACGTAAATAGGACTCAGAGTGCAAACCGACATGCCACCTCCATGTAAGTGCACCCTGCCGGGATTAACCTGAGATCTAGAAGAGGTTGAACAAGCACAGCAGAGGAAAGGAAAACAAGAGGTTGCAGCCCTTGGTCCCTGCTGGGGTTGAAAATGCTTCTTTCTCTCCCCTGGGGACAGGACTTGGATGGTGTGGAACTGTGGTGTGGCCAGGTAGACTGCTATGATTTTTGTTCACTGTCACCGGGAACATGGAAATAAGATTGCCTTCTGAAGGCTTACTACCTCTCCTGGAGCAAACCATTTCTGCTGCTGCAGCTGCTGCCACCACCGACAACTAACTGTATGAATAAGTTTTGGATGTGCCAGGCCCTCTTCTAAGCACTGTGCACATAATGCTCATTTCATTTCTCACCAGAAGCTCATGAGGTAGGTTTTACTATAGCCTTATTTTACAGATGAAGACACAGAGGCACAAAGAGGTCAAATAACATGCCCCAGGTCCCCTAGGTAGTGAGGTAGCAGAAGGGGAGGGGTGATGAATTAGCAAAAAGATATATAATAGCTACCATATTGGAAGAGCTTAGGCATAAATTAAGTACATTAATATTTATTATCTATATGTAATTATATAATATAGAAAATATATAATGTATGCAAATAATACATAGTTACATATAATACATATATTTATAAATGTAAAGATTTACTATATTAATAGAGTACCTGGTTCAGCAGTAGAGTAGGTCAGTTAGGAAGTATAGAAAAGAAGTGAGTTGCAGAGACCATACAGGTCTTACATTGATTATGGTCTTAGAATATGTCCACAATTTGTTTGGCACTTCTCCCTTTATAGGGAGGAACCTAATTCCTCTCCCTGTGACAGCTGGACTTAGGGAGCCACTAGTAGCAAACAGAAAGTGGTAGAAGTAATAGTGTGTGACACTTCGTGGATTAGGTTAAAAAGGCATTGCAGCTTTTTCCTTGCTCTCTCTTGTACTGCTCATTCTGGGGAAGCCTACTGCCCTGTTGTGAGGACACTTAAGTAACAGGTCCTGATGGTGAGAAACTGAGGCTTCCTGCCAACAGCCAACAGCAACTTGCCAGCCATGTGAGGGAACCACCTTGGAACCAACAGCCCCCACAAAGCCCTCAGATGTCTGCACTCAAGCTCAGAGAGACGCAACCACTTGCATTCCTGATCCGCAGAAACTGTATGTGATAACATGGCTAATGTTTTAAGCTGCTAAGTTCTGGGTAATCTGAGTACTTTGCTACATGGCCAGGCCAAAGATAGTCAACACAACTATGCACTTATACAAGGGAAAAGGAAGATTGAGCCATTTGGCTTTGAGTGGTTCAAACCTTCTGGCAATGTCATTCCATTCTGAGATGGATTCATAAAGCTGACCGACAGCCATTAAACATTCACCTCACTGAGCCTCCCTCATCCTGATTGTCCACTCGCCAAACCACTTTTGGACTATGATTTGCTCCTTAGGTACCTTCAGGCTGAGAAGGAACTGATCATATGGGATTGGAGGTATTTCTAGATTCTATGATGATTATTTTTCAGAGAAACTTAATAAATGGTTTCTGATTATGATTCAGCTTCCTGTGGAGGCCATTCTGTGCTGATTATAGGAACTTTGAGTCTATCTGATCCCTCTGATGATGGCTGCTTAAGGCAAATTAATGTAACCAGCATTGCAGGGTCTGCTTCCCTGATTTCTAGTTAATAAGAGTCAAGTTCTCAGGGTGAACACCCCGAGGGCATTGGCAAGAGTGAGCATCTCCATTTCTAAACAGAAGTCAGGGTTTACACTGGCAAACTAGATCCTGCCCAGCTGCCCTCTGGCCTTTTTTGTGTCATCCAAACCACCTACCAGAGAGCAAGGAGCCTTTGCTGAGATATGAGTCCAATGGATTCTCCTTACAGGGAAAGACTTAAGAATTATAATTTTCTTTTTTTAAAAGCTCTGCATACAAGAGCTGGTGTGCAGGCCAGAGGTGTGTGTGGGGGTTGTGTGTCAAAGGATTCACCAGAGACAGAGTGGGGAGCAGAACAGGCAGATCTACTGAAATACTCTGCTGAGGGGAGCAGTGGGTGAGACAGGAGAGGTCTGCTGTG